TTGGGAATCCTTGGCATATAGATGCTGTTAAAGCCACGAACTCAGCTGAGATCCCCAAAGAAGTAGAGTAGATAGAAAAGTTTATGCTGATCAGTTTCATGCCACGAGATGAGGAGGAACGAGCAAGGTGGGGTCAGCCAGTGAGGTGGAGGGAAAACCAGGTGAGTGTGGTAATTTGGAAGCCAAGTGAGGCACGTGTTTCAGTTAATATGAAAGGATCAGCTCTGTCCAGTGCCTCTTGATAGGTCAAGTAAGACCTTGAATCTACCATTGAATTTAGCAACGTAGAGGTCGTTGGTGACATTAATAACCATTTGTGTGTGTGGGAGAGGAGCGTGGTGAAAACAGGCTCCAGAAAGAAAGGGAGAGGAGAAGTGAGAGGCAGCAGAGAGAACTCTTCAAGGGTTTCAGCCTCCCTGTGAGGTACACAGTCCCAGTTAACTGCTTAGGTGTTTTTGGCTCTGCGACCGAGGTTTAGGTCATCCTTTTGTGAGAGTTGTATGAGTAACCTCTTGTTACTACTACACAGAATTTTTTGCTAGGTAGTATTTTGTTGTAGGTTGGTGAAATGATTCTGTCAGTGGCTGAGTGAATGATGGACTGGTGGCGTAGCTCCTGTATGTGTGACATGAGGAAGTCACCAGAGCAGTGTCAGTGGCATGACGCTAGGGAATGCAAAGGCAGTCTTAGGTTTGGAAAACTCTCTGAAGTTCTTGAGATTCTAAAAATGTTGGAGGAAGTGGACACATCACAGGTTGTATGGTAACCAGCTGCCTTTGGCCTTTTCTGCATCCTGACCATCTCTGCAGGAAGTTTCAACCTAGTTTGTTAAGGGATATTTTCTGGGTCCTTAAATTTCTTGGTTTATAATGAAATCTTATCCAGAAATTGGAATTAGTTAGATTTGCTGAAATAAATTTAATGGTTTAGGTAAGTGAGTCCTTTATTGTTCAGCTAGAAAGTTGGTTGTACCCCTGACTAAGACTTGGATGGCAAATACTGTCCATGGGCTGCCATATTCCTCTTCTATCATCACTGCTGATCAACCGTGGTACGTTTTCCCTCCCGCCCTCCCTTCCTTCCTTCCATTAGTTTCAGAGGTAAGATTTAGTGATTCATCAGTTGCATATAACACCCAGTGCTCATTACATCAGGTGCCCTCCTTAATGCCCATCACCAATTTATCCCTTCCCCTCATCTACCTCCCCTCCAGCAACCCTCAGTTTGCTTCCTAGAGTTCAGCGTCTCTTATGATTTGCCGCCTCCTCAATTTTCATTTTATTTTATTTTTCCTTCCCTTCCCCTATGTTCATCTGTTTCTTAAATCCCACATAGGAGTAAAATTGTATGGTATTTGTTTTTTTCTGACTGACTTATTTTGCCTCCATTCATGTTGTTGCAACTGGCAAAATCTCATTCTTTTTGATGGCTATGTAATATTTTATTGTCACACACACACACACACACACACACACACACACCCCACATCTTCTTTATCCATTCATCTGTTGGCGGACATCTGGTCTCTTTCCATAGTTTGGCTATTGTGGACATTACTGCTATAAACATTGGGGTCCATGTGCCCCTTCTGATCACTATGTTTGTATCCTTTGGGTAAGTACCTAGTAGTGCAGTTGTTGGGTTGTAGGGAAGCTCTAGAGTGTCTGCACCAGTTTGCATTCCCACCAACAGTGTGAGAGGGTTCCTTTTTCTAACCATGGTACATTTTCATTTTGAGCCCAGATGTAGCCTCAGAATTCCTGTTTGTAATGTTCTAGAAAGTCACTATCATTTAGTGCAGTGTGACCTGACAAAACTTGTTCATTAATCCTTGGTGAAAAGGTTTAGATCACAAGATAAAAATGATGTGGAAAACAATACATGAATTAGAAATAGCTCTGAATTGGTTGTCCTTCATACTGCTAGAGTTTATCAGTAATAGTAATGGCTGATGAGAACCCCTATTAGAGGTGGCATAGGGATACAGTGCTTATTCTTTTGTTGAAACACTGAATTGACAATATCTGTTCTTTTTTTTTTTCAATCTCTGCCCTTTTGTACAAAGATTCTGCACTGTTTGCTGAACTTGGCTATTTCACAGACACCGATGACCTGCATCTGGATGCAGCAAAGGAAACTTACGTAAGTATTTACTAGGGGAGAATTATTGAATAATGTGATATTTAATCTTTATTCTAATTATTGCAAGATGGTTTCAGGATAACAGGTTTAGGGTAGCAGTTTAAGTTTAAATAACTTAGTATTTAAGTGTGAAATTTAGCAGCCACTTTTTACTCAGTAAATTTAGGATTGCAGAAATTGCATTGGTCCTGGTGGGAGAAGACTTGTATTCTGAGTTTACTTTTGGCCTCAGGGTTGGATGACTTTGGACAAGTCACTTAACTGCCTACTTTTGGCTTTGTAGGTAGTTTGCTGCATAAGGGAAACGATGATGTTAAAGGGTGTATGTGAGTCATGGATCCAGTCAAGCAGAACTTACCAACTTCCTTTTTAAAAGTTACGTATCCTTAGTATAGAAAGCTCTGAAATTTAGACATGTCCATACTTTTTGCCTGTGAATGGTTAGAAGTCTGTGTAAAAGCTATTATTATAGCGCTTTGAGTCCTCATAATATCTTTCCTTTTTTGTGTTAGTGCATAGTACATTGGCCTATAGAACTCTTTCATTCTGTCATATTCTTGAGGTGCTGTTCCGCTTGGGAAGTAATTTAATTGAACAGAGTGATTTTATATGTACATCAGTCAGGTTGGATATTTGTTTCTTATTTTTTAAGCCCTTATTATGCTGAGTACAAAAATATGTAATGCCTGCTTAGTGAGTTTGTCAAATATTTCTCAAAGAATAATTTAGCAGTTGTTTTAATATGCATCAATAGAAGAGACTAAGAATACATGGTATTTTTTTTTTAATCAGCACATGAAATTTTAATAGTTTTTGTTTACCTTATGAATGTTTGAGAGTGCAATCTATTAAATTGGCTTTTTTTTTTTTTTAAAGATTTCATTTATTTGACAGAGAGAAAGAGATAGCAAGAGAGTACAAGCAGGAACGAGAGGGAGAAGCAGGCTCCCTGCTGAGCAGGAAGCCGAGTGAGGGGCTCGATCCTATGACCCCAGGACCATGACCAGAGCCAAAGGCAGACACTTAATTGACCGAGCCCCCCACGTGCCCCAGATTGGCTTTAAATATTGGGCGGTTGCCTAAGCAACTGATACTCATTTACAACCTCTACGGCTAAAACTACCAAGTTACCATACAGTAGTTAGTTTGAAGGGTTCAGGGAAATATGATCCTCATTTTGTAATTAACATCCTTACCTTACACAAGGCATTCAGTCTTTCAGTTCTTTAGTTTTTCTAGTACGAAGTTAAGGGATTGGATTAGATGGTGTCTGAGGGCCCTTTCTAGCTTTAAAATTGTGTCATTCTCTTCCACACGTTAGTAGTTTCCCATGAGAAATCATGGAAGAGCCAGAATATAGAATATAGAAGCATAAATATGTCTCACTTTACATAAAATAGACCTGTTAGGTTTCCAGCCAGATAAAAGCCTTACGCTCTAAAAGGTATTTGACTGTTTTGGCTGAATACCGAGGAAGAAGCTTCTGGAGTAGGTCATGTCCACTGTTGTGCCTGTTAGTATTACTAGCACTGAGGAGGCTTCTTTTCTTTGGTTAAGAAAGTTTAAGGATATGTTGGGTTGCTGAAGATACGAGGCTGCTTCATTTCTGATTGTGTAGGTTCAAGTAAGAGAAAAAAGCAAAGGGGGTTGATTTAAAAAGGGGTTCTTTCATGCTTTCAGTAGTATTTTTTTTCACGTGAATGTCCACACATTCTCTTTCTACAACTTGTACCAATATTTACTTAGTTAAGGGCAGTGGGATCAAACTGTTCCCTTCTTTCCTTTTGTTCTCAATAAAAATAAACCACAGAAGAGACATTTTGAAATAATATTATTTTAGAAATTATCACCAAATGGTTGTTAATAATTAAAAGACTAATCTTTACTTTTGGCCTGAGGCTTACTTTCTCTACTGTTGCTGTGTTATTATCTGTTATATTAGGTTAATACTGACCGCCTTTGACTTTGTGGTACTGTGTGTATATTGTTTACTTCTGTTCTTGTCTCCATACCCCTGGAGACTTAAGATAATAGCACTGCTTGATCTCAGACTCACGTGTGGCAGTACTTTATTTATGTATATAGTACAAGATGACTTCAGATGACCCAGAATATGCTTATATTTAAGTAAAAAAAATTATCATCTAAATGAAGAAACTAAGAGTCCCTCTAAGAAGTGTGTTGACTTCTGTTTGAGAAACTTAGTTTTACCTTCTAGGATTAAAAAAAAATTAGAAATTTTATTTTAGGAATTTGAAAGGTACTGTACAGTAGAAAAAGGAAGAAAATTACCCATCCTTCTATGGATCTCTTCTCTCTTAGATAACCGTGTTAATATTTGGGATAACTGAAGGTTCAGCTAAAGTCTCGTTACAGTTCTTGCATGTTTTTTGGCTAAAATCTATATTCTTGTTGCTGTGTAGAGATGATGTTGTAAGTAGGCATTTGCTTTGACTTGTTTTCATCAGTGGCAATGGGAAAATGTACTCTGCTGGATCTCCCTTATGACAAAGACATATTTTGTGACTCTTGTGAAGGTCGGTTCCCATGGAAGAAAATGATACCAACTGAATCTTTTAGATGTTGAGTCCATTACCTCCCTGATTGTTCCTGCTGTGTTTTATATAAGTGAATTGGCTTATCTTTAGGCCACGCAAGGTGTATTCTCAAGATGAACCGATCGACGTAGAAAAATTATTTTAACTGAGTTGGGTAATAGAAATTATATTATTTATGGCAAATTGTGTCTGATAGTTTGATTTCTAGATCTATATATTTTATTCTTCTAATATCCTTTTCCTGATTGAAACGTACAGGAAAACAATTTTGATAATCTTGATTTTGACTTGGATTTGATGCCTTGGGAAACAGGCGTTTGGGACATCAACAACCAGCTCTGCACAGGTAATGATGTATTTCATTTGTAAAAATCTTAAACAGATCCATTGTATTTTGTAGTTTGGTATTAGTCAAAATTACATGGGGTAATTGGGCTACTTTGATGGGTTAATAAAAGCCAGGGATAGATATTCTACTTCTGATGGGGCAGTGCACACATAAGTTTCCTACCCAAATGGATGGAAAGAATTTTTTAGCTATGTGTTAGTCACATAGGGATAAAGAAGTCATATCAGAAATCCTGATTTTGAATTCTGTGTAATATCTTTATAAGAGGTTAACCTATCTGAGAACCAGACCGAATTTAAGGAATCAAAGAAAACTTGGGATTATCACAACTTAGGAAGGTGGCATAGGGGTCCCTTGCATTTGATATACATACTTCTATGGAGGGGGCACTCTCTGTCTGATGCTAGTATCTTTAAGGGGCCCTGATAAAGTAGGTTTTGGATGTGCTGAGAGAAGCTGGGATCTGGAGCAAACGGTCACTTGTGGGATGAAGCTGATGGGAGGAGGAAGAAACCCCTTTCTCCCCTCTCTTCGCTTTAGTATCCTTCCAGTATCCTCCATTGATAGGACATAAAAGGGAGCCAGCTGAGACGTGTCTTAATGTGCATCACAGACTGTAGATAGGCGGTAGACTTAAGAGCTGAGAGACAGTGGGTAAGTCACCAGCACATCCTCCCACCCAGATTGCAGTCCTCCCCACCCCTCCATGTCCCAGTCCCCCATTTTATGTATTTGTGTGTCTTGCTCAATGCATATCTTCCCTCGTAGAATATGGGCTACCCAGGGCCAGTGTTCTGGTTACTATTGTCATGTAACAAACTACTGTAAAACTCAGTGGCTTAAAACAGCAACCATTTTATTATGCTTCCAGAATCTGTGAGTCAGGAATCTGGACAGGGTACCCCAAGAATGGCTTGGCCCTGCTCTGTGATGGCCAGACCTCAACTGGGAAAGCTTGAGTAGCTTGAAAGTTGTGGAGCTCGCATTACCTTAAGGTTTCTTCACTCACATACCACTTGCCAGGCCCAAGTGACTTGTGGCTGGTGCTGTCGGCTAGAGCACCTGCGCACGGGGCTTCCTGTGTGGCTTGGCTTCCTTTTAGCTTGGTGGTCTCGCGGTCGTCAGACTTCAGAGGCTCAGATGGGAACGTTCAGCGCACAGAGTAGAAGCTGCATTGCCTAAGTAACCCAGCCTTAGAATTCACGTAGCATTACTTCTATACTCTGTTGGTTGAGCAAGTCTTAAGCCTACCTTGATTCAAACTGAGGAGAAATAGATGCTACTTCTTGATGGGAAAGGGTAAGAGCACCTTACAGATCATGAGGGATGCTAGCTATTTGGCAGCTAACTTTGGAAAACATTGCCTGGGCTGTGGTTGCTCAATAAAAAAATTTTTTTTTAAAGATTTCATTCGTTTATTTGACACAGAGAGAGAGATCACAAGTAGGCAGAGAGGCAGGCGTGGGGCGGGGGAAGCAGGCTCCCCGCTGAGCAGAGAGCCCGATGCGGGGCTCGATCCCAGGACCCTGAGATCATGACCTGAGCCGAAGGCAGAGGCTTAACCCCCTGAGGCACCCAGGCGCCCCAGTATGATCGAATTTTAAGAGTAGTTTGTACCCTCTTCCTTATTTCATTTTGAGTTTATTAGTGTCCATTTTTACTTCATGTTTTTCAGTTAAAAATGTTAAGGCAGAACCTCAGCCGCCTTCTCCGGCCCTGTCAAGTTGTTCGGTCTCCTCTCCCCAGTCAGTGGACTCTCACTCTTCAACTCAGCATGTTCCTGTAAGTAGCCAGTCTTCTCCGGTGATGTTGGTCATGAGGCCATCTGGGAAATACGCATATGGTGGAGGCACTTACCGTTTATGAAATGCTACTGTGAGCCTTATGATCTCATTTCATCCCAAGGAACCTGAGTTTCGAGGAAGGGCCTTGGGAGAGCTCGTAAGTTCTTGGTCTGGTTTCGCCCTCCTTCCCCGGTGTTATTGCCTTCATCTTGCCTTCACGATTTCATTGTCGCAGTGGTTTTTTTACACTTCGCCAGTATCCTGTGTTTTTTATTGCCTTACCATCTTCTCTCCCTGCTGCCCTCTCTCCTGCCTGTCAGAATGTATGTTCTTTGAGGACAGACTCCAAGGTGATCTGATTTGTAACTCCTTGGCCATAGAGCCTAGAATGGATTTCTTAATTCAGGAATGCTTAGTACTACCTTTGAAAGGGCTAAGGCTTTTATAAAAATCTGATAACTTCTTAAAAGGCCTTCTGTTCTCCATCCACAGAAAAGCTCAGAGGGTGGGAAAAGGTACTTTTCAGGTGCTTTTTTGAATGGGGGAAGGGGAAATTTAAGAAGAAAAATTCAAATTAGTATTTTAGTACATTATATCTGCTCTAAATAGAGGTACCTTCTTTTCAGATTCAACAGGTAGCCAACTATGAAATCTGGACAGTTCAGTCCAGTTAATGTCTCTGTGATTCACCTTCTCTGCTCCTGCCAGACCATCATCATCTCACTGGGATTAAGTTAGTAGGATTTTACATGGCCTCTCTGCCTCCTGACCACCACCCCCTCACCCCCCGCCCTCCCCAACTTTTCTTAAGCAGCGGAATCGTCAAAGAGAAGTCTTTCAGAATTACAGATTTGATCATGTCAGTCTTTTGCTTAAACCTTGTAACGACTTCCCAGCCCTTACAGGGATGAGATTCAAATTCCCGGAGTACCAAGCCCTTCACAACCTGGCTCTTGCTTACCTTCCTGGCTCCCTGTCCCTTCCTGCCTTCACCTTCCCCTTCTAACCCGGTGGGAGTTCCCACCTCAGAGCTCCCGTATTCTCTACCCACTCGGCAACTGTGCCAGGCACTGTTCAAAGCCTGGCGGTGAGTGAGAGCAGCGAGTTGTAGATTTTACACTTGTAGGTTTTTGTACATGCTCTTCTGCCTGGAATAGCCCTCGTTTTTTTCCTTCCCTTGTGAAACTCCTGTTCATCCTCTTTTAGTCCTGGTTCGAAACAACTTCCTCTGTGAAGCTCTTCTCTGATTGCTACCATTGGAAGTTCTCTGTCTCACAATTTCTCCAAATGATTTGATTTTTTTAAAATTTAATTTATCTTGAAGTCAGAAGTATATAACAAGGAATTTTTTTTTAAAGATTTTATTTATTTATTTGACAGAGAGAGAGAGATCACAAGTAGGCAGAGAGGCAGGCGGCGGGGAGGGGGAAGCAGGCTCCCGGCTGAGCAGAGAGCCCGATTTGGGGCTCGATCCCAAGACCCTGAGATCATCACCTGAGCTGAAGGCAGAGGCTTAACCCACTGAACCACCCAGGTGCCCCTATTCAAGGAAGATTTACAGAAGCCCGATTTCTGTCCTTTCCTTCCCATCCATCCTTACATGAAAGGTAGCATACTCTGTACCTTGGTCTGCACCTTGCTGTGTAACTTAGTGGTATATCTTAGAGGTTAAGACCAGTTTCAGGATCTTTCTCATTCTTCTTCACGGCTGCATGGTGTTCCACTGTGTGGACGTATCATGCTTTCTTTAGGGATTTCCTTATTTGATGAATCTTTGTGTTCTCAGTCCTTTTCAGGCTCAAATAATACTGTAGTGAATAAGGTGTTACATAAGTCATTCCATATTTTCGCCACGGCGTCTTTGGGATATAATCGTAGAAATGAGATTGTTGAGCTTACGGTGAATACATTTGTAATGGTGTGGATTATAGCCAGATTTCCCTCTGTGGGGTCGTGCGGTTGTGTGTTCTGACCAGCAGCGTGTGAGAGGGCCGGTGTTCCCATTGTTCCTGCACAGCGTGCTTTGTTGTCTCTTTGTTTTATTCTAAGTGTGCTTGAACAGCTTCTCAAATATTTCATGTGTATAAGGCCTATTTGTGTTTATTTTTTAATGAACTGTCCGTTCAAATTTTGGTTCACTTTTCTTTTGGATTGTGTTGGTCTTTTTCTCCTCAAATTTTTAAAGTTGTTTTATTACATATTAGGATTATTAGTCCTTAGTTTGTGAAGTAAGTTAACAAGTATTTTTTCTCCAATATGTCATTTGTCTTGATGCTTTCTGTCTGGTGTTTATTTTCTCCAGGCATACTTTTTCCTGTAGCCAAATAACCAATCTTTTATTGCCTTTTGGGGCGGGGGGTCATTCAGAAGAGGGTTTTCACCACTGAAAAAGGTGTTTAACCTCTCACTGAGAGGTTATAGTATTTTTATTTGTGTTTATGTCAACTTTTTGTTTGGAATAATCTCAAAGTTAGAGAAATGTTACAAGGACATTACACATAACTTTTTTTTTTAAAAAGATTTTATTTATTTATTTGACAGACAGAAATCATAAGCAGGCAGAGAGGTAGGCAGAGAGAGAAGCAGGCTCCCTGCTGAGCAGAGAGCCCTGTTCGGGGCTCGATCCCAGGACCCTGATATCATGACCTGAGCGGAAGGCAGAGGCCTAACCCACTGAGTGACCCAGGCGGCCCACAAATAACTTCTTTTCCCTGAACCATTTGAGAGTAAGTTGCCAACCTGCTTATCACGCCCAAATACTTCACTGTCTACTTCCTACAAGCGTGGATGTGCCTTCTGTGGCCACAGTACAGTCACTAACACCAGGAAATGAACGTGGACGCATTACGTTCACCTAGTCCCCAGCTCCCACTTAGCTTGTGCCGGTTGTCGCAGAGATGTCCCTTAGACCAGCAACAGAGCCTCGTGTAGAATCCAGCATCGTGTTTGGTTGGCTTGTCTCTTTTATTTCCTTCAAGTGAAACGATTTATTTTTCCTCAACTGTCATGACCTTGTCACTTATGGAGATTAAATACTAGTTATTTTGTAGAATGTTCCTCAGTTGGGTTTGTCTGATGTTTTCCTAGGGGTTAGATTCAGGTTTTGTAGGCATGGCAGGAATATCACTGGGGTGATGCCGCATCTGTCTCATTTACTTTTGATGAGGTGTCACACGATTTCAGTTTGTCATTACTGATGACGTTCTCTTTGTTGACTTAATTAAGATAATGTCTGCCAGGCTTTTCCATTGTGAGGTTGTCCTTTCTCGCTTTGCCATAAATAAGTATTTTGTGAGGAATTACTTTAAAATGATGTTTAAAAAAAAAGTCCAGTTTCTCCTCAAAGTTTAACTTTATCTGTTTACTTCTTTATATCAATGTGGACGTCAGGGTTTCTTATTTTATTCAACAGGTTGTAATCCATAACTGTTATTATTCTGGTTCTCATGCTGTCCTGGATTGGGCCAGTGCAGCTCCCTTCCCACAGACCTCTGTGTTCTTTTAATATGTCTTCATTGGGCTTTTTGATAAGTCAGGCTGACCCGGTTTTGATGTTATCACCCTGTTCTGACTCCCAGTGCTGGAGTGTTCTCCCCATCCACTTCTCAGCACTCTCTCTACCCGACTCAGGTTGGACTCTGACACTCTACTAGCCCATCTCTCCGCATGGATGTTGGTCTTGCTCTGTCGCATCTAGTGGCTTTAGGGTAAAATTATTCACCAAGGAATATTTTTGTTTGCATGTTTGTTTATTCATTTGTTTTTTATATTCCACAAATGAGTGAAATCCTATGGTCTTTGTCTTTCTCAGTCCAACTTAGTTCACTTAGCTTAATGCCTTCCATGTCCATTCATGAGCAAGAAATATTTTCTCAGTGACTGTTAGTACATATTTTGTAAGGTTTTATTTTTATTTATTTATTTTTAAAGATATATTTATTAGTGTACTCAAGGGGATGGAGCAGTGGTGCAGAGGGAGAGGGGGAGGGAGAGACTCTCAAGCAGACTCCCTGCTGAGCTTGGAGCCCAATGCAGGGCTCCATCCCATGACCCTGAAATCATGACCTGAGTCAAAGTCAAGAGTTGGATGCTCAACTGAGCTACCCAGGTGTCCCATAAGGTTTTTTAAATTTAATTTAATTTAATTTTTAATTTTTTTTTAAAAAGATGTGGCCCAGGATTGAGGCCTGAACAGCACCATTTTTTTTTTTTAAGATTTTATTTATTTATTTGACAGAGATCACAACTAGGCAGAGAGTCAGGCAGAGAGAGAGAGGGGGAAGCAGGCTCCCCACTGAACAGAGAGCCCAACATGGGACTTGATCCCAGGACCCTGAGATCATGACCTGAGCTGAAGGCAGAGGTTTAACCCACTGAGCCACCCAGGTGCCCCTGTTTTTCTTTTTTTGTTTTTTTTTTTTTTTAAGATTTTATTTATTTATCTGATGGAGAGAGAGAGATCACAAGCAGGCTGGCGAGGGGCGGGGGTGGTGGGAAGCAGGCTCCCTGCTGAACAGAGACCCCGACATGGGACTCGATCCCAGGACCCTGAGATCATGACCTGAGCCGAAGGCAGAGCTTAACCCACTGAGCCACCCAGATGCCCCAGGTTGTATTTTTAATTTAGATCTCTGATCCATTTGAAATTATCCTGGTGTATGATGTGAGATACAAATCTAATTTTATCTTTTCCCAAATGGCTATCAAAAGAATGGTTTCAATACAGAAAGTTCATCTTGTTCTCACTGTTTTCAGTCTGTGTACTTAAAATAGTTTAGGTAAATGGCTCTATTATATTAGATCTCTTTGTATTTCTTTTAAAAATAAACACAATGTCTTTAAGATCAGTTCATACTGTTCTGTGTGCATGGTCTGTTGCATCGAACTGCACAGCACCTCACGGATGTGTTTACCAGGTTTTACCTGCATCCCAGTGAGCATTGTCAGAAATGACCTTTTATGGGCCTGCGTGAGGACTCCTTCGATATGCAGCCCAGGGGTGGAACTGCTGGGTGATCGAGTGCCCGTGCTTCACGGGACCAGTGCTGCCGCTTGCTCTCTGGTCAGCTGTGGTAGTCTGAAGTCCTGGCCACAGTGCTTCCGGATTCTGGTAGCTTCTCTTCCTCGCTAATGCTCAGCGTTGCCTGGCCTTCTAATTTTTGCCAGATAGTGTAAATTTTTTATTGTTTGTTTTGTTTTAATTCATTTATCTTTGATTACTGATTGTTTTCAACATTACATGGCCTTTTGGATTTGGATGTTTTTTCTTCTCTGAATTGTTCATTCCTGTCCTTTGCCAGTTTTTCTATTGAGTTATCTTTTTCTTACCCACTTGTAAGAATTCCTTCTGTATTTGAGATAGTAACTTTATTGGGTATAGATATTACGTGTATCTTTCCTTTTTTTTTTTTTTTAAAGGTTTTATTTATTTGAGAGAGAGAAAAAGAGTGAGCGAGCATGCGCAAGCAGGGGGTGGAGTAGAGGGAGAGGGAGAACCAGGCTCCCCTCTGAGCAGAGAATCCAATGCAGGACTTGGTCCCAAGACACTGGGATCATGACCTGAGCCAGAGGCAGACGCTTAACCGACTAAGCCACCCAGGCACCCCTGCATATATCTTTTTACTTTTTATTATATATTAGCTTTGCAGTCTTTATTGAGTAGAATTTCTAATTCTGAATACTCAGATTCATCTTTTTTTCCCTTTGCCTTTTTGATTTATTTTTGAAGTTTTTTTAAAGAAGTCTTTCTCTGCTTGTAGGCCACAAAGATGTTCTCCTGCATTTTTTTCTATTAACTGCATGGTTTACCTTTCACATTTAGATTTCTTAATACCTTTATTTATTATTTTTTAAAGATTTTATTTATGTATTTGTGAGAGGGAGTGAGGTGAGGGGTAGAGGGAGAAGCATACTCCCTGCTGAGTAGGGAGCCTGATGGAGGACTCGATCCCAAGACGCCTGGATCATGACATGAGCTGAAGATAGAGGCTTAACTGACTGAGCCACCCATTGTGCCCCAAGATTTCTTAATACCTTTTTTTAAAAATTAAATTTTTAATTTTTAATTTTTAAAATTTTATTTAATTATTTATTTTAAAAAAGATTTTATTTATTTATTTGACAGACAGAGATCACAAATAGGCAGAGAGGGAGGGAAGCAGGCTCCCTGCTGAGCAGAAATCACGATGTGGGGCTCGATCCCAGGACCCTGATATCATGACCCGAGCCAAAGGCAGAGAGGCTTAACCCACTTAACCACCCGGGTCCCCGAATTTTTTATTTTTTAAAAGATTTTATTTATTTAGGGGCTCCTAGGTGGCTCAGTCGTTAAGTGTCTGCCTTTGGCTCAGGTTACGATCCCAGGGTCCTGGGTTTAAGCCCCACGTTGGGCTCCATGCTCCACAGGAAGCCAGCTTTCCCTCTCCCACTCCCCCTCCTTGTGTTTCTGCTCTTGCTTTCTCTCTCTATCAAATAAATAAGATCTCTTTCTTTCTTTTTTTTTTTGTTTAAGATTTTATTTATTTGACAGAGAGAAAGCACAAGTAGGCAGAGCAGCAGAGGGAAAGGGAGAAGCAGGCTCCCTGCTGAGCAGAGAGCCCAATATGGGGCTTGATCCCAGGACCCTGGGATCATGACCTGAGCCAAAGGCAGACGCTTAACCAACTGAGCCACCCAAGCATCCCTTCTTAATGCCTTTAGAGTCTGCCTTACTGTGTGGTTTTAGTTAGGGATCTAGTCTTGATTTTCTCTAAGTGAACCAGTTTCTCCAGTTGTATCACCTTTGCAGTCATTCTGTTAAAGAATATCTTATGTTTGGTGGCGCCTTAGTCAAGTTATCTTTTATGTATCTCAGTTAAGTTTTGAAATTTTCTTTATATAGGCCCTGTACATTCCTTAGAAAATTAACTCCTAGGTATTTTATAATTGTTAAAGCTCTTGCGGGTGAAATCTTTTTTTATTATATTTTTAAGTGATTATTCATACAATATTTTCATTGTGAAGTGTTTTTTTAATTGGTTTTTATGTGTGTTCCAAGTAGACAGCATGTCACCTTACAAAGGCACTTCTGTCTCTTCTATTTTAATACTTACTCCTTTTATTTCATTTTCTAGTATAATGATGTTGGCTAGAATTATACAAAAAGCAGTTACGTTTCTTATTCTGGACTTTAATGGTATTGTATTTAGTATTTCACCATTAAGTATGACATTGGCTATGCAGTTATGCCTAGCTTTTTTTTTTTTTTTAAGATTTTATTTATTTATTTGACAGACAAAGATCACAAGTAGGCAGAGAGGCAGGCAGAAAGAGAGGGGGAAGCAGGCTCCCTGCTGAGATGAGGGGCTCAATCCCAGGACCCTGGGATCATGACCTGCGCCGAAGGCAGAGGCTTTAACCACTGAGCCACCCAGGTGCCCTAGCTCTTTTTTTTTTTTAAATGTTAAGAAATACCTTTTAAGTATCTGAGGTCACAAAGAGATTTGTATTCAGATTTACTAAATGTTAAAAGTCTTGGAAAATGTTGTCTTTATACATCTCTGTATTAACAATTCACCCATTAAATAAAAGAAAATAGTCCTGTTCCTTTCAGTGTTTGTCTTTCTTTCAAAACATTTGGGACACAGGTGGTGTTAATAAATGAAAAAGAAAAATAGTAAGAATTATTTGTTTTGAGTTTCTTATAAGACTACTAAATTAGAGATTAGAGGAAAGGATATTGGCATTTTAACCTTAGTCTTATACCAAATGTTTGTATGGCTAGGAACCAAGTAAACAGCAAGTGTGTGGGAGGAAATATAGGAGCAGATCAGTGCTTTTCATCTTTAATATGAGAGGATGACTTAGGCATCCTCTGCAATTTGAATTATTTTTCCTCTTGTATTGATGGATAATGTTACTTTATCCCCAGTCTCTTAGTACTCAGTATGTAAAGTTTCTAATACATCACACCTTTGCCTTGAAGTTTTCCTTGAATGTTTATCTGTTTATGTATGGATCTTGCCTCTCTAAACCATTTTCTGTTCAAGAATTACATTCTTCTCCATGAACTTGTTTGTATTTTATTTTGCTGTAGGAGGAGTTGGATTTGTCTTCTCCTTCCCAGATGTCTCCCCTTTCCCTTTATGGTGAAAGCTCTCATAGTCCCTCCTCAGCAGAGCCCCTGAAAGAAGATAAGCCCATTGTTGGTCCTAGGAGCAAAACTGGTATGACTCCCATCTCCTATCTTCTGTTCTTTCTAATTTGGATTGAACTTAGGTTCCATTTTTTTAAAAGAAAATGTTGGATTATGTGCATGTTTATTAATCTGGCTTTTTGTTTTTAAACAAGTGGGCCTGTCTTCTTTGGTTGTATTGTCTTTATGGGTGAAAAATGCTTTAAAGTAGATAAAGGCCTCATCATCTTCAGGAGAGAATTCAAGGATTCAGTTAAAGATAGTGAATGTGAGGGCCATTTGGGTGTGACATTTATTACCTCTTAATCTTCAGGCCTTATTCAGTGATTTTAGCTATTCGCTACCAGTTCTAATATCCCAGAGCTGCAGTGTGGTCGTTCCAACAAAAATCATCATTTTGACCATCAGTGTGGTCAAAAAGGAAGGCTCATTTGACTTCCACAGTAAATAAGTCATGACGATGTAATGTACAGCATGGTGCCTATGGTTAGTGATACTGTGTTATCTATTTGATTGCTAAGAGATTAGATCTTATAGGTTTTCATCACAAGAAAAAAAATTTGTAACTGTGGTAGCAGATGTTAACTAGACTTCTTGTGATAATCCTTTTGTGATACAAATATCAAATCATGTTGTACCCCTGAAGTTAATATAATGTTATATGTCAATTATAACCTCAAAAAAAGAGGTAGACCTCAGATGAAGGACTTTTCTTTAGTCCATTAAGTTATAGAGTAGCTAGGCTTAAACTCCGGGTAGGGACAGTTACTCAGAGGTCTAGATAATGTGTAGAAAAAGGTGTATCATAGAATCTGTTTTCTAGGAATTGCTTTCACAATGATCGGTGGTTTGTTTGGATTTTCTCCAGAAAATGGACTGACTCCAAAGAAAAAAATTCAGATGAATTCAAAACCTTCAATTCAGCCCAAGCCATTATTACTTCCAGCAGCACCTAAGACTCAGACGAACTCTGGCGTTCCAGCGAAAACCATCATTATTCAGACATTACCCACGCTTGTGCCGTTGGCAAAGCAGCAGCCAATTATCAGCATACATCCTGCGCCCTCTAAAGGTACCTGCGTGGAACTGGAGGCTGCATAGTTTAATTGGTGGCCGCTAAGGCTTGTATCATGTCATTTGTTTTAACTCAGGTTATAATTTCTGAGCACAGGCTGGGTGCCAGGAATTGTCCTTGGTTTTTGAGGATGTGACAGATGACTAACAGGTGGTTCTTGTTCTGACAAGGGAGATAGCTATCCAGATGAATTATATCAGATACTTCTTTTTTCTTACAGTTTTTTTTTTTTTAAGATTTTATTTATTTATTTGACAAAGATCACATGTAGGCAGAGAGGCAGGCAGAGAGAGAGAGAGGAGGAAGCAGGCCTCTTGCTAAGCCGAGAGCCCGATGCGGGGCTCAATCCCAGGACCCCAGGATCATGATCTGAGCCGAAGGCAGAGGCCTTAACCCACTGAGCCACCCAGGCGCCCCTTTTCTTACAGTTTTAATTATGAAAACACCTATCAGGATGGTGGTTTTATATAACCACTTGTAATGAAGAAGAAAATCCAGGAAACTTTATTGGCACCATTCTATCCTGAGAGTTTTGTGTCCCTGAACTCTTGTTTTTAAGGAGAGGTCAGTATGTAAATAGCGTTATGGGTCTATAGTTGAGTTCGGTGATAGCATGAGGCTCTTCGTCCCTGCAGAGGCAGCATGCTTTAGTAAACATGATCTTGAGTGAGGGCGTGAGGAAGAGAGCTCAACTCTTGTCTTCAGTTAAGAATATGTGTGTTTCGGGGCACCTGGGTGGCTCAGTGGGTTAAAGCCTGTGCCTTCGGCTCAGGTCGTGATCCTGGGGTCCTGGGATCGAGCCCCGCGTCGGGCACTCTGCTCAGCGGGGAGCCTGCTTCCCTTCCTCTCTCTGCCTGCCTCTCTGCCTACCTGTGATCTCTGTCTGTCAAATAAATAAAATCTTTAAAAAAAAAAAAGAAACCTCCCTTTAAAAAAAAAAAAAAAAAAAAAAAGAATATGTGCGTTTCTATATCGTGTCCACCAGATGGCCTTCGATCCTCAACTCTACACGAATTGTAGCATTGAAAGAACATACTTGAGGATTTGTGGTGCACAGATACAGGAATCATTTGCATGGGGAGATGTCTTAGGCAGATTATCTGTCATTCTCCTCATACTGATGTGTGTACACAGGAGTAAAGGAGAACCTGATCGACGTTCTTTTCCCGGATTTAGGGCTAGGTCTCAATGGTGTATGGATTGTAAACAAATGTTTCTTCTATGGCGATGTTTTCCAGCTCTAGATTGTTAGTTCCTTTTTTTGGAGCAAAAAGATCAAGTTTTAATGAGAGCAAGTTCATAAATTTGATTTCTAGTTACTCTGTTAGTTTTGTTTTAGTGTAAGGTCATGGACAATATAACATTGATAAAGAGAAGAACTAGGTGGGAGATTGGACGAGTCAGTGAAAAATCCATCAAAGTCTACCAGAACCCTAGACAAACCTGGAATACCAGCCCTTTCTGTACAGAGTCAGAACTGCTGCTTTTTTCATGTGAAAAATAGCAGTCCGATAGAAGAGGTGTTCTTGTGGTCTGTGAATGGATGTTAAGTGTTCATAACTTGAAATAAAATGTAAGATTTATTGTATGCGTGGACTTTTCTCAGGATAGTCTCCAAAACTTTCATCAGGATCTCAGAAGGGTCTGTGTCTTCCCAAAGGCTAAGAATGAATGAATGAACGAATGAATGAATGAATTTATTTTTTTAATAATTTTATTTTATTTTTTCAGTGTAAGGCTAAGAATTTAAACTTGTGAAGAACCTCATTATGGTTTCCATAAGTTCTTAAAACACAAGTGTAAAAAGCGAAAGCCGGACATTAATATGACTAGTGTGTGAAGTAAGGGGTATTCGTGAGAATTTGCTCTTAGCAGACCATGTTCAAGTGAAAGAAGACAAACCATTCTTTTCTGAGCAGTTTATCATGTTCAGAAACTCGAGTCATACATTATTCAGAACGTCCGTGCCTGCCCCTGAAGATAGTATTTATGTTTGCTAGTATAAGGCACTTGTGTGTTTTTCTAGTACAATCCAGAGAGTTGGTGTTATTATAACATACAGATTGAAGTGTACGTCTTCCATTTATTTGAAATAAAGTGGTAGAGGGGAAATACAGGAGAGGCATTTTATAGTTAATCAATGTAAGTGTCAGTAGTAAATACTTTACTATTAAAAAAGAAGTAATTTTTATAGGATTAAGTTCACATTCTCTAACTTGGAAGTAAAGCCCACCACGATTTGGCTCCAGTTTCATTTTCTAACTTTACATTATAATCACTCCTTTTTATAAACCCAACTTCCTCTTCTAGCCCAACCAATCTGGCCACTGTCCCTTGAAGTCTCTCATTTTTTCTAGTTTCTTGGCTTAGACCATTCTGTCTGCCTGAAACAACTTCTGTAACTTAAGTCCTGTACATCTATTAATGCTGTTAGGAGAAGTGCAGGTGAGAGATGATGAAAGCCCGGTGTGTCTGTGAAAGTGGAGAGCCAGGGTAGAGGGTGTGGAGGTTAGTATATGTGCTGCCGAAGCAAGCACGAGGGTGCGGAGGTTAAAAAGTGCAGAATCGCAAGCTTGGCAGTTGGATGCTTTGGAAAGGGGATGAAGGATAGAGAGGAATGTGCCCTATGTCTTGGGCTTGTCAGGTAGATGATAGTGCAAATCATTGAAATGGAGGATGGAGGTAAACTAACTTGCCTCAGGTCATTCTGCTCCTGAGAGGTAGAGGCAGAACTGGAGCCCGGGTGGTCTGGCTCAGCGTCTGTGCAATTGGTCATGCTACTAGATTTCCTCTGAAAGAATGTGCAGATGTGCTCCTTGATCTCCAGAATTCTGTCTAATTGGGGAGTTAACATATTTACAAAAATAAATAACAGTGACCGTGAGAACTAATGAGCTAATAATACGTGTAGTGCCCTTACAGAAGCTGTTACTATACAGAAATGGAAATTAATAATAGTAAATAATAGCTATCGTCGAAGTTCTTGCTGTGTGGCACTGTTGTGTTTAAGTGCCTTATCTTATTTAATCATTACACTGGCTCTGAGAATAGGTACTATTATTGTCTTCATTTTATAGACGAGAACATTAAGACACAGGAATCATTTACCCCAAGTCACACAGCTATGTTATTTTGACAAAGTAGGCATTCAGTAAATGTTTGATACATAGTTTGAAGCCTTTGAAGAAAGTTGAAAAGGAATAATGCCTGTCACACTCGGTGAGTCATACAGAGTCACAAGTATTCAGCATTGAATCTAGCCGTGTTCCATTAAGGGGGATTACCTGTAAGGTAAGGACGTATCATTAAGGGTGGACACAGCATTAATGTATGTCATGTCTGAAAGGATTCTGAGTGTGCTGCAATGGATAAATAGCCTATGGTTTTCCTTTTTGACTGCCCTTTTGTCCTTTTCATACTAGGGGCAGTAGTTCCTGTGTTCAGCTGCTAACTGTTTAAGGCCCAGAACAGTGCTTTGCAATGCGTTCTGTGATCCCTGAGCATCTAGCGGGCCAGTGTTTAGCAAGTCACCACAAGAGTTTTTTGTTTTCTTGAACATGTTATAATAGAAATTTCTCCCTATTCTGTCTTGGCATGCCTAGAATATTTAGAGGATCCTAGAGTTAGATGCTGCTAGGTAATTTGAGGATAGTTGGGCACCATGGGATGTTCATCATAGAAAACAGGAGGCAGCAGTGGCCTGGTAGGACTGGGAGCCACTTGGGTACACAGACCCTGCCTCTGTGTTGCCCCATCTCCCTCACTCCATGAGGTAGTTCTCTCAGCAAGGAGATGGTGATAACTACGCAACGGACAATACAGACTTGGGTTACTTTTCTAAATTTGTTTTAAGAAATAGCGCAAAGCCATTTGCGTGTGTTAACTGCAGCTAGAAGTATGATCATTTCTTTGAAATGTTTAATTCTTTACTTTTACCACCTCCTCTGCTCTTTGGAATAATCCCAAAGTTCACTGAGCAATATTTCATTTTGGGATTTTTTTTTTTTAAGATTTTATTTATTTATTGGACAGAGAGAGATCAAAGTACGCAGAGAGGCAGGCAGAGAGAGAGAGTAGGAAGCAGGCTCCCTGCCAAGCAGAGAGCCCTATGCGGGGCTCGATCCCAGGACCCTGAGATCATGACCTGAGCCGAAGGCAGAGGCTTAACCCACTGAGCCACCCAGGCACCCCCGTTTTGGGATCTTTTTATTGTAATCTTTAAACCAAGAAGATGCGGAACACTGCTTCCCATAATGCTCTTCTCAGAGTATTGGCTTAACTCAGTGGCTCCCACACTACAGACTGTGTACCCCAGGGTATGGGTGGTGGGAATAGTAGCCTTTGGCATTTTGCAAGGCCTCTGCAAACCCATATACTGACAGGTATTTTCTGTAGCCTGAATAATTTGTTTTATATATTTTTGTACTCCTATTTTTAAAATTTTTGTGGCTATAGTTCAGATTAGTAAACTACAAATTTATTTTAAATTGTTACTAGGTTTTTGTTGTGGTTGTTTTTTTAAGTAATGTGGGGCTCGAACTCATGACTCTGAGATCAAGACATGAGCTGAGATCAAGAGTCTCAGCCTGACAGAGCCACCCAGGTGCCCCTGATACTAAGTTCTTTTTTTTTTTTTTTTTTAAGATTTTATTTATTTATTTGACAGACAGAGATCACAAGCAGGCAGAGAGGCAGGCAGAGAGAGAGAGGGAAGCAGGCTCCCCACTGAGCAGAGAGCCTGATGCAGGACTCGATCCCAGAACCCTGAGATCATGACTTGAGCTGAAGGCAGAGGCTCTAACCCACCGAGTCACCCAGGCGCCCCTGTTACTAAGTTCTTAATAGCTGCTTCTCATGTATTTTCTCAGTCCTGAAACTGAAAGGACAGCCATGATCATCTTGGGTGACCATGATACTTTTTGATATTAAAGAAGAGTGGTCACTTGGTTTAAGGTTTACATAATGATGAGTGTGTCTTCTTCTAGTACCAGATTGTACTTTCTTTTCTTTTTTTTTTTTTAAGATTTTATTTATTTGAGGGGGTGCCTGCGTGGCTCAGTGGGTTAAAGCCTCTGCCTTTGGCTCAGGTCATGATCCCAGGGTCCTGGGATCAAGCCCCGCATCAGGCTTTCTGCTCAGCAGAAGGCCTGCTTCCTCCTCTCTCTCTGCCTGCCTCTCTGCCTACTCTCTCTCTGTCAAATAAATAAAATCTTAAAAAGAAAAAAAAAAGATTTTATTTATTTGAGAGAGTATGGCAGTGTAGAAGCGAGTGGGGGAGGAGCAGAGCAAGAGAAATCTTAAGCAGACTCCCTCCTGAGCTCGGTACTCTACACGGGGCTTAGTCTCATGACCCTGAGATCATGACCTGAGCCGAAATCAAGAGTCGAGCGCTTAACCAGCTGAACCACCCAGCATCCCCTGGACTGTAATTTCTTTTTATTTCTTTTTTATTTCTTTTCAGTGTTCCAGAATTTGTTTATGCACCACACCCAGTGCTCCATGCAGTACGTGCCCTCCATAATACCCACCACCAGGCTCACCCGACCCCCATCCCCTCCCCTCCCAAACCCTCAGTTTGTCTCTCAGAGTCCACAGTCTCTCATGCTTCGTCTCCCCACTCCGATTTCCCCCAACTCCCTTCTCTCCATCTCCCAGTGTCCTCCATGTTATTCCTTATGCTCCACAAGTAAGTGAAACCATATGATAATTGACTTACCCTGCTTGACTTACTTCACTCAGCGTAATCTCTTTCAGTCCCATCCATGTTGATACAAAAGTTGGGTGTTCATCCTTTCTGATGGAGGCATAATACTCTATTGTATATATGGACCATATCTTCTTTATCCATTTGTCCACTGAAGGGCATCTTGGTTCTCTCCACAGTTTGTTGACTGTGGCCATTGTTGCTATGAACACTGGGGAACAGATGACCCTTCTTTTCACTACATCTGTATCTTTGGGGTAAATACCCAGTAGGCAATTGCAGGGTCATAGGGAAGCTCTATTTTTAATTTCTTAAGGAATCTCCACACTGTTTTCCGAAGTGGCTGCACCAGCTTGCATTCCCACCAACAGTTTAAGAGGATTCCCTTTTCTCCACATCCCCTCCAACACATGTTTCCTGTCTTGCTAATTTTGGCCATTCTAAGTGGTGTAAGGTGGTATCTCAATGTGGTTTTGATTTGAATCTCCCTGATGGCTAATGATGATGAACATTTTTTCACACATCTGTTAGCCATTTGTATTAGACTGTAATTTCTTAATAATGAGAGTTATTAAGAAACCTTACACCTGGTCATGAGCTTTTTATTTTATATGTTTATTTGAATATTTGACCTAAGCATATTTATATCTGCTTATGAGTCATCTCCTCATTTAAATGTTTTTATTTCATATAAGAAGTTTTTCCGGGGGAAAAAAGATAAAAATGTTTAGAGATCACTTTTGTCCAAATAAATTACACGTTAAAAATCTATGAAGTTAACTTTTTTATGTGGGATAAAATGCTGTTAACTAAACTCTAGTTTTAGTGTGCTTTTTGGGGCCATGTGAAACATAAAGACTTTGATTTTATAGAAGTGACCTTTTTTTTTTTTTAAAGCTAAGACAGGTGTTCTTAACAAACAGGTGTTTCAAAGTATTATTTAGATTTTTAGTTTTTCTTGATCCTTTGAAATACCAAGCTGAATTTTACGTGGGTCGTGTTACACTGGCTGAAAGTAGAATGCTTTTTTTTTTCCTGCCTTGAAGAAGAATTATAAATATTTATGTAATTGTAGTTGCTGGTTACTGTAGTACCTTTTTTTGCTGGATAGGCCCAAGCAGCTGTGGATGCTGGGGGAGGCTTTCAGCACCTTGTAAAATTGGCCAGATCTGAAAGGAAGCATTCAGTAGGCAAGTGAGATTTCTAAAAGACCAGAGTTCTGAGTCATGGGAGTCTTCTTTAGGTTAATGATACTAAGTCTCCTCAGATTAGTGTAATTTAAAAAACAATGTTTAATGTGGAGATTTAAGAAAAAGATTTAGAGGCCATTTTGTGTGTTTAGGGGGAGTTGGTATTATCTACAGATAATTTTAAGTTACAGATTTGTCTCCTGTGCTTGTTCACTGTGAACTCATTTCAAATGGTTTTAATGTTGTTTGTTTGTTTTAAGATTTTCTTTATTTATTTGACACAGAGAGAGAGAGATCACAAGTAGGCAGAGCAGCAGGCAGCGAGAGGGGGAAGCAGGCTCCCTGCTGAGCAGAGAGCCTGATGTGGGGCTCGATCCTAGGACCCTGAGATCATGACCAGAGCCAAAGACAGAGTCTTAACCCACTGAGCCACCCAGGTGCCCCTCAGTGTTTTTTTAATAAGGACATTGTGAACAACTTCATAAAAAAAGTATATTTTTTAATTGAAGTATAATTAACATAGCGTTATTAGTTTCGGGTGTACAGTGTAATGACTGAACAATTCTGCTCGTGACTCAGTGCTCATCGCAGTAAGTGTCACTCTTCATCCCCTTCGTTTCATCTGCCCACCTCCCTGCTGGCAACCACCAGTTCTCTTTAAGAGTCTGGGTTTTGGTTTTTTTAATTTTTTGTTTCTATTTTTTTAGAGACAGAGTATGACTGGGTAGTGGGGCAAGGGCGGCAGAGGGAGAGGGAAAGAGAGAATCCCAGGCAAGCCCCACACCCAACTTGGAGCCTGCCACAGAGCTCGTTCTCATGGCCCTGAGATTACAACTCCAGCTGAGGGCGAGAGTCTGATGCTTAGATGACTGAGCCGCCTAGGTGTCCCTGGAGTCTGTTTTTGTTGTTGTTTGTCCCTTTTCTCTGTTCATTTGTTTCTTAAATTCCACATATGTTTGTCTTTCTTGGACTTATTTCACTTAGCAGAATAGTGGTTAGATCCATCCATGTTTTTGCAGATGGCAAGATCTCATCTTTTTTACAGCAAAATAGTATTCCATTGCTTATATAGGCCACTTGTTCTTTATCCATTCATCAGTAGGTGGATACTTGGGATGCATCCGTATCTTGGCTTTGGGAGATATTACTGCAAGTTTTAACATTTTTGATATTTGTAGTCCCTGGGCTGCCACATATTGAGTCACCGAATCTCCATTTGTATATTATTGGTGCTGTATTTCTAAATCCTGTTAATTTAAAATATGTGGCTCTCAGTGTTCAGGATAAAAGATTCATTATTTATAATATGAAAAATACTTCTTGGCGCTCATAAATTTCCGTGGTTAATAGAGAAATCTGTGTGTAACTCAGCAAGTTTGACATGAATATAGTTGAGAAAAAATGTGGACATACATTGTTCATGATAACTTCATAGGAAACAAATGTAGTTGGTTTCATTAAAAACAAAACATCAGAAGTCACTGTGCGTGTGTGCTGCTGTTGATTATGTTTTAATTGGTGGTTTTAAATGCCCTCAGTGTCCTCCTCCTCTTGTATCCGCAGAAGAGACCTAAATGTTAAACACTGTCCTTTGTCATAGTGGTCACGCACACTCTGACTCCTTTCCTGTTTCCTCCACCGCAGGTCCGACCGTCGTGCTTTCTCAGCCTGCGGTCGTACAACTTCAGGCTCCTGGAGTCCTGCCCTCTTCTGCCCCAGTCCTTGCTGTCGCCGGGGGAGCCACACAACTACCTAATCACATGGTGAATGTGGTGCCGGCCCCTGTGGCAAACAGCCCAGTGAATGGAAAACTTGCAGTGACTAAACCTGTCCTACAAAGTACCATGAGAAGCGTGGGCTCGGATGTGAGTGGTGCAACTTCGTGCTCTATCATGCCTGACTGAAAAAGACAACAAGGACAAAACCACACTGTTTTGTTTTTGTTGCCTTGTTTTTGCTTTTTGAAGTTTGTCATCTTGCCTTGGCAAATTAGCATGTCAAAATCTAAGTGAAAAGGTTTTAGAAAGTCTGAAGTTGTTTGATGAAAAGTGATGTTTGCATACTTTCCTCTGTAACTCCTTCTTTCAAGCTCTCCTCGCATTCTGCAAGGCCCTCCCCAACCCAGTCAGACACTAGTATTTTCCAAGACTCTTTCATGTCTCCTGATTGAAATGTTTTTGGCAGTTCCCAGATAAGAGCCTGTAGACTATTTTTTTGTCAGGATTTACATTTACCTTCTCTCTTGATTTATTGAAGGGTTTTCACCACTGCAAAATGATGACTTGCTACTCTTAGGAGCTCTCTTAATGATTAGTTGGTATTTTCCCATCTTTGCAAATCCTCAGATTTTCTAGCACATTTTAGGTTTATTTATTTATTTTTTTATAATTTACAAATCACAGAAAGTTTCCTAAGACCTGTCTTCCTCAAAGCCAGTTATAGCATTTGCCAGCTAACTTTTGCTTTCTTTAAAAGTGATATAAAAATATCTCATGTATTAAGTAGTAATTGAACATTGTAGGCTTAAAGTTTAATGAAGTTTAAGTCAAATAATCACTTTGACAGTGGATTCTCCTAAACTGTTAGTGGGAAGGCAAACCCATATGTGTTTTCTTTAAAATAAAAGTAGATATTCTTGGTTGTTAATATTGCTACTCTACCTTTTCTTTAGGTATTGCAAAATACTTTTAAAATTTTGTGCCTTATTATAATCTGTTGTACCATGATTTATTAACTAGCATGTTAGTAGCCCAGTAGTGAGATTGCTCTATTGTTGCATAAACACAACTAAGTAATGTCCATTCAGCAGTATTTTAAAGACCCATAACAAAGGAATATTATCTGATGAAAGCAGAACATTGAAGATCTCCAATAATTCCCATAGTTTTGAAAACTGTGTGTGTCCAGACATGGAAGAAAATTTAGTGTCGAACGAGAATACACATGGATAGTACAGGATTAGCCTTGACTGTTAAAGTTCATTTATTTTGAGGACTAGAGAAGGTTAAGCGTAGTGGTTATGGCATAATAGGCACTAAAACACAGTATGGGCTTCAGTTGAGGATGAAATCGTACGGTGCTGGGATTTGCTTAAAATACTCTGGGGCAGGGGGCAAGGAGCACAGGATGGAGGAAACAAGATTGGCAAAATGTGATGATCATTAAAGTTGGGCGTAATCTTTCTCTCCTTTTGGTGTGTGGGAAAATTTCCACAATAAGTAAATAACAACAAAAGTCCAAAAATATCCTGTGCTATTTTCAACTAAAAAGTTATACAGCCAATAAAAGAAAGAGTATGTTTTTCACAGGAGACTGAGATAGCTAAGAATGATGAAAGAGAGTATTTTTTAAATGATCCTTTAAAATTTCCTTTTAATCCTCTTTAAGTTATGAATTTGAATATGTTCTGTGGTACTCCCAAATGCAACTGGCAAATAGAAAATATTCAAAATTGTCTTTTTATTTTTAAAGATTCCTCTGTTTATCTGAGAGAGCGAGAGTGTGCATGCTCTTACAGCGGAGAGGGGCAGAAGGAGAGGGAGACTATCAAATGGACTCCTCACCAAGCACGGAGCCTGATGCAGGGCTCGCTCTCACCACCCTGAGATTATGACTTAAGCCGAAATCGAGAGTCGGGAATTCGACCCAGGAGCCCCTCAAAGTTGTCTTTATATCATGTTAGGACATTTAAAATACTTATTATGAAATATCTTAGACATGAAAAAAGGTAAAGACTAATTAGAAATTAAAAAAATATAGATCGACAGTATGTCACAGTTGTTAAATTATTCACATAGTGTTAGTTTGTGTTCTTGGCTTTCTAACATCCGATTGTGGGACAGTCCAGAGGCATGTGGCTAGGATAGGGAAGATGTCTTGAAACGATGTTCTAGTAGAGGAATGGTTTAAGGGTTGGAATGACTCCATAAACAAGAAGAGAACACTGAGCATAGGTCTGGGAGCTGATTCCAGGACGTGAAGGTTGATGTGTAGAAAACAGGATGATCTGGGTTGTTCCAGAAGACTCAGCTAGAATAGGTGCAGATACATTATAGAAAGATTTTGTCTCATCCTAAAATTCTTTGATTGTGTCATTGCATTTAAAAACAGGAGGAGGGGGACGCCTGGGTGGTTCAGTTGGTTAAGCATCTGCCTTCAGCTCAGGTTATGATCACAGGGCCCTCGGATTGAATCCTGGGGAGCCTGCTTCTCCCTCTGCTTCCTCCTCTGCTTTCCACTCGTCCTGCTTGTGTTCTCTTTCTCTCTGACAAATAAGTAAAATCTTACAAAAAAAAAAAAAGCAGGAGGAAGCCTTTTTTTCCTTCTAGGCTAATATCTGAATAATGAACGTCTGTAATGTTGGCACTCATCATTGTATTCTACAGACCCATTTTGTAATCTCTGAACATTTCAATTAATTATTTGTTGAACAGACGTTTGCCATAAGTTCCTTGGTGTGAAAGAACTTTTTTTTTCAAGATTTTATTTATTTATTTGACAGATCACAAGTAGGCAGAGAGACAGGCAGAGAGAGAGGAAGGGAAGCAGGATCCCTGCCGAGCAGAGAGCCCCATGTGGGGCTCAATCCCAGGATCCTGGGATCATGTCCTGAGCCAAGGCAGAGGCTTTAACCCACTGAGCCACCCAGGCGCCCTGAAAGAACATGTTTGTTCTGCTCTTGCATCAGTAAATTATTCTGATAAAGTCTCAGTCAACATTGAACTGGGGGATGTGTGAGATGCAAAAGTATAGGCCTGACAGGCATCATCTTTTTTTTTTTTTTTAAACCAATATTTATTGGTTACCATTGTTATTACTTTCCAGAGTTTAGAGTTGACAATATTATAGAAGAGAGATTTCACGTACTGTGTGTCTAGTGCAAGAGACCTAAAGGTGATTAGAGTAAATTTCTAGTCAACATGCATTAAGGTTTTGTGTTTATTTTTCCCTGGCCAGCACATCAGGAGGTGAGCCAGGTCTTTTCAGTATGAGTTCTCTGGTCGAGGTTTTGACTTAATGTTTATTTCAAGTAAAGAAACATCAGTCTGTACTATCAGCTGGCCAAGCTGCTCAGGAACCCAAAGAAAATTTGTTCCAGAAGGAGCTACAGGAAACTTTGATCTGCTGGTATAGTCTCCTGTGTTAAAACTTGGTTGACCTTAATAGTGCACATGTTTGTTAGACTCAAGTCCTATTAAATTATGATAAATTTGAAGTAGTATAAATTCTGGATTCAAAATGGCCAAAAAGAAAAATTTTTCATTATGTGCTTTTTGTGCTTTTGAATCAAAAGCCTGGTGAAAAAGCTGTAATTCAGCAGAAGAAAGCATATCAGTCTTTCGTGGCTTTATAATGCTGACATGGCTTCTTTTTCCTACCTTTTTTGTTCTTTCATTTGGCTAGTTTCACTCTCTAGAGGCCTGCTACTGCCCTGAGTAGCGTTTTTTGCATACCAGATTCTGCAGACTGCATTCGGTGCCACATTTTCTGTTATGAAACAGTTTGCCTGGTTCAAATTATAATCTCACTCTTCCTGTCTTTTGCTGGTAAATCTGTTCTCTTTAACTCTTGGAAACCTTACCTAAGTTTTCAAGAAATATGGTTGGTTTTTGGCTCTGATCGTGATGGAAAAAATGAACATGGTCTCTCATTTCAGTGTAGAAATTCTCTTATTTCTTGGTAAAAGGCAATCTTAGAACTGCAAAGTTGCCTTCATAGGAGAGGGTGCATATCTTTCTTTAAAGAGCTATTGAATGTTGTCAGACATCAAACCACGGACTTGAACGTAGGCAGACTATTTATTTATTTATTTTAAGATTTTATTTATTTATTTAACAGAGAGAGACCACAAGTAGGCAGGAAGGCAGGTAGAGTGGGAGGCGGAAGTAGGCTTCCCGCTGAGCAGAAAGCCCAATGCGGGGCTCGATCCCAGGACCCTGAGATCATGACCTGAGCCAAAGGCAGAGGCTTTAACCCACTGAGCCACCCAGGCGCCCCTAGGCAGAGTATTTGGATCTGCATTGCTATAACTACTACTACGTACCCATCATAATTCCATAAAGTTCATGAAACATTATGGCCCCGGTTTTAGGGCTATGGAGTTACATTGTTGTTGTTATTTTGGGGGGATAAAAGACCAGGGGAAAACAAGTGGGGAAATGATATTCTACATCCTCTGTGGCGGACCAAGGTGGAGCCCAAACCTTTAATGGAAGTCAGGTGGTGACAATGGAAAGAAAATGATCAGGAGCTAGGTCAGAATTAGAAATTCCAGATGGGAGGCTGATCGAGGGTACAAGGCTTGCTGACAGGAGGCCTCAGGCCTTCCTCTCAGTCCGTTCACCCCATTAAGCATCTTACAAACCCTTTATTCTCGCACTGTTCTGATTCTTTACTTAATGACCTCGATCCCTCCCAACCCAGTCCCTAGCCCTTGGGAGTCCCTGTCCTGGTCACTAAAGCCAACATGAGAAGCTGGGGGCCGGGGGGATCCCTTTCCACCTGCCTGCAGGTATTAGAAATAGTGTGAAGGGGATTCCTTTGGCATAACTGAACGGAACCTTGTTAATTTCTTTTCTCTGGAGACAGTGCTAGTTCGGCTCAAGATTTCAGGTATTGTTAGTATTTTGAGCGTGGAGGTGATGTGATCTGGGACCAGACGGGGCCAGTACACACAGTGTTCCTTTATGGCTGTGCAGGAGGGCTGAGTTTTGGGAGTCTAGCACTTCTCCAGCGAGCAGTGAGCAATTTTCCTCATTGTCCAGAGGAAGACATTACCTCATCTCACAAGGTTTTTTGCTGGAAACATAGCCCTGAGAAAGGGCCTGGGTAAAGAGCGGTTAGGGCCTTGTATTCTTGGCATGCC